CTGAGGAGGAAGGAGCAACAGAAACAACGGGGGATGAACTGGCCACAACCCCCATTCCCTGTCCCCCTGTGCTGCTGTGGGGGAGGAGGTAGAAAGAAATCAGGAGTGAAGTTAAGCCTGGGAAAAAGGGAGGGGTGGGGAGAAAGATGTTTTAAGATTTAGTTTTTATTTCTGTGATTGATAATAAAATTAAACTAGTTTCCCAAGTTGAGTCTGTTTTGCCCGTGACAGTAATTGCTGAGTGATCTCTCCCTGTCCTTACCTCAACTCAGGAGCCTTCCGTTACATTTTCTCACCCCTGCCCAGCTGAGGAGGGGAGTGATAGACCAGCCTTGGTGGGACCTGGTGTCCAGCCAAGGTCAACCCACCACAGCTAGCAAAAATATAAGAATTATCTTCTGTGAAAGTCTAAATTCACAATGTAGTTTGCATTCCCATTCACTCTATGACTGCTTTAAAAATAAGTTTAAAAACAAACAAACAAAAAACACAAAAACCCCAACACAAATTCAAAACCCAAACAAACAAACAAACAAACAAAAAAAAAACCAAATCAAAACACATCATGCCATCATACCCAGCAATTAGGCTAGTTCTTGCAAAAGACCACTCTAGAGGTTCCTGTATTGTTTAACACAAAGACTGCTTAAATACCATACCATACACGACAGGCAAGTGTTACAGGGAAGAACTAGTAACAAAAAATTAACTTTTTTTTTTTTAACTGTTGTTTTATTTTAGCCCACTGATGACAATACATCTGTTCAGAAAGTTCTGGTGGGTTTGGATTTTCTTTTTTGCAGGGGAGAAAGGTTTGCTGTACTTTTTTAATTTATCAAATTATTTAAACGTTTAAAACTCCTGGCAGATGTTTTTTCACTTCTGAAGCAGTTTTCATAAGTTTCTATGCTTATTTAGAAACAGAATTGTATTTTTTTAAGTAATTTCTTACTACACATCTACTAAAAGGATACCAGAAACTAGCATCACAACCTAAGTGAACTGCATGGAAGACAGGATAAAGTACTTTTTCTTTTTTTTTTAAACATGGAGACATGAACAAAGGTAGACTTTAATACCTGTTATATAGGCAGTTCATAGGAGGTCACTTTGTCTCTGCAGTATTATTTGGCTGTGTTTTAGTTAAACTTTCCAAGCATCTTTATGATAAAGGAAATAATTTTACCATTACTAAAGGCCACTGACCTGACAACTCAGGGCCTCAGGAGTTGTCTGTGTTGCCTTAGCTTGAGCTGATTTTAGCCTTTAAAAAAAAATAATTGTGATAGCAATTGTCTGGTGGCCAGGTAACTATTGTCTAAATTTGTTTCAGGTTTCTTTTGGTGTATAGTAAAAATGAGGAGTTATTCAGGGTGGATTGAGTTGTCTATGTTTCTAGAATAAAATGATGTGCGGCAGAGAGCACACACACAGGACGGTACCAGAGATGCCAGGGCTATGACAGAAAACACAGCTGTAATTCACAGGTCACTACAGGAGTGCAGCCTTTCAGCGTTCAGGTGAAACCAGCTTTAGAACAAAGTGTGAATGATTGGAAACCAGCGACAAGAGCGAGCATGTAAGCTGTGTTAAGAAAACATAAAAATAAAGCCCAAGCAGAACCAAGCCCGCAGAGGAAGGATCTGTCAACATCTCTCTTCTCCCAGCAAAGGGAAGGCAGAAACTCCCCGCAACAGGACCACAGTGACAACCTCAGGATGCTGATGGCTCATCCTGAGCCCCTCTCCCTTTCTTTTTCAGGAAGGCTGAATCTACCAGTCTTTGGACCCAGAGGGGGCTGAACACACCACCAGAGAAAGAGGGATTTCTAGGAAGGACTTTTTTATTTCCCCTGAAAAGCAATTTAATTGTAATATTAAATCTTTTCTATGTTAATTTGAATTATGAATGTATATTACCATAACTAATAAATCAGACCATTATATTGTCAAATCATCAACTGGAGTAACAATAATTTCCTAGTTCCACTTATGACTGTGCTCTTCTTTCGGCATACAAGATTTTGAGTATAATGAGCATGATGACTCTATATACACACAAAACACACCACTAAAGTAAAAAGAGTTCAGAACCATGTATTTACATGATGTGCATCATCCTAATTGACAGGGAATATTAGAAAGTTAAAATAAATGTGTGGTCACCAACAGTTCCTAAATCGCAAATGTATTTACCCTGTCAAAACTTTGCAGAAAGATTTTTGCTAGTTTCAGTTATAATGTGGATGTTATTTTATCTGTAAACAGAAAAAAAATGACATAAAAGACTGGAAATATCATAAAGTCACTGCAATGTGTCCTAAAAGCACTGAATGTGTTTTCATCATCAAATCTTTTCAACCAGAAAGTGATTTGTGTTTTGTACAAAGTATTTAACTGAATACAGTGAAACTGTGATGAATTTTCAAAGATATGAAATATTAATTTATAGAAGTGTACTTTAATAGCTAATTTTGCATGAACACATATTCCATCTATGCTTCAGAGAAAGGGTAGCTTTGTGAGGACTTTTTCTTTCCTTTTTTATTAGGCTTACTGAGTGATAGTTATGCAAAGAGAGTACAGACAAGCTTTTGGGGCATGCAAGTCTTTTAGATGTAAAATAAAAGCAGTAAACTCAAGGTTCAGAATAATTATGTTAATTATTTAGCCAATTTGAAAGAAAATTATGGTTGTTACCAGCAGAGCAGAGGGTAATGTCAGCATGCGAAGCAGTAATAAGTTCGGTAGGTCTGGTGGGACAGAGAGGTCAGGCAGTGGTGCCACTTGGAGAAAAAGAGTAGATACCAGGAAGACACTATCTTGATGATTTTTAATGTCAAGTACAGCTGTGAATGTTAGCTATGAATATACTTTTTGGTTTGGGTTTTTTTTTTTTTTTTTTTTTTTTAGTTATTCCTTAAGGATATGGGCTGAAAGATCAGAAATACAGTCTTCCTTTCTGAGATACCGTTCTTCTGCTGGTAAGTGGACATATATTACCTTCATACATTATTTATAGAAGTTAATGCTAGTGGCTATCTGATTTTGTCCACTGAGTCTCCATAGGGGCTTTTGGTGCAGTATAGGAAACTGCATTTCTGATAGCTTTGTTGTGAGACAGCTAATGCTTGGAAATGTATGCTAGAAGTTTTGCATATTTTCAGCTAGCACAAGCTGGTATCACTTGGTGCATGTTCACCTCTGAAGGTGAGCTTAAACAAGGTTAGTAAGTTACTTCAAGGCCAGAATAAGGCTCCTGGGAATAACTGAGATCTGATCTGTCACTAAGTTTGAAATAGTTTTATGGTTTTCTGTAAAGGCTCCAGTACAGTGAGACATTGGGAGTTTTCTTGGTGTATAGCTATCTTGTCAAATCAAGTGACCTATTTGCCAATAGGATACTTGTTGCAGCGGGTAAGGTGGATGTCAGAAGTACTTTCAGGGGGAAGAAAAATCTTTTAAAAAAGGGGAAAAAAAAGCACATTGTAATAACCATTTCACTCCATGTCACAAATTCTTGGTGCAATTCAAATAACTGCCATTTTTGTTAAAGTAAATATATTGGTTTTAAATAAAGTAGATTATGTTCTTTCTGCATAATGAGACACACCAATACCAGTTTGAAAACTTTCCAGAGACAGCTGAAGGTGGTACAGTTACTGAATTGATGTATTTAAGATAATTGTTCTAAAATTAAAATCACAAATCTATTTCAGAATCTGAAAATAGATCAAAATAGATATGAAATAGATCAAAAAAACCCACATCTCACTCTGCCTTATGTTGTTTTAAAGATATTCAAAATTAAAAACGTTTGGAACAGAGGAGACTTTCCCTTTGAAAATTGTCAAAAAAATCCTAGGTTGACAGTGGTTTTCTTTTTTAAATCAGAAGACTCAATGATTACACCTTTTCATTAGCATTTCTAGCAAAAGCTTCGTCAGACATTCTCCTAACAACCTTATCAGTAACATATATGCAAACGTCACCACACCATATCTAATTGGGACAGATACAAGAGCCATAGCAGTTTCCAAGAGAGTTTCAAGCTAAATTACATTTTTGATTGAGTTACTTCAGTGGCAAATCTCCATTAGTCAGTTATATATTATATGCTGTGTTATCACTTTCAGAAAAGTGAAAACTGCATTCAGTATTATTATAGCTCTCTAACAAGTAGGTTTTTGTAAGAATTCACTCCATAGTTTCTATTTCAATATTCCCCCGCCATAAAAAGTAAAAAAAAAAAAAAAAACAAACAAAAAAAAAACAAAACACCAAAAACCACAAAACAACTCAGTAGTGTCCACTATTTAAAGCAGCATGGCAACTCTTACTCTTTTTAATAGTTTGCTCAAGTATACTTCTCTAAGTACTACACAAATAAATATTATTAGTTTTTTTAATCCTTACAACAGAGCTATCTATGATAGTTTAAAAGTAACAATTCTGCTGAAATGAGAAGAAAGAAGATTGGATTACAAGTCCATTTCCAAAAGAGCCAAATGTGTATATATGGAAAAAGTGTTAAAAAGCTGAACTTTAATATAAAGTAAGCAGTATCAGTACATTTACCATATAAATATACTCCTAAATCCATTCTTTGGTGAATGGTTATGGACTGAAAAAGATGCATATCAAGTTAATGAACTCTACTCTGCTGACTTACAGAAAAGAATATAAAATAGAAAAATCTACATATATTATTTCAAGCTGCTTATTAGATAGACTTATCTATAATATATATATATTAGGCACAAATTACATTAAAATAACATTTACAGAATTGCAAAGAAAAAGTTTCACAAGTTAGAAAATGGAGGGGAAAAAATAAATAAAGGTTGCCTGCATAACCTCAACTCACCCCTTATGGTTAGACAGTATTTTGTGATCTTTAGTTAAATCATCTTATGACATATCAGATGCGGGAAGTCAATGCAGAAGAACAATGTTAGGAATCTAGGAAAAGTGGAACAAGGATAGACTGCTGACACTCACCCATCAGCTGGTACGAGATGATGCCATAGCACAGGCCGTAAGCAAGCAGAAAATATTGCTGCTTCATTAAATCCCAGACCTAGAAATCTGCAAGAGGAATTTGTGGTTTGTGATTCCCAAAGTACAACATAAATAAGTTCAATTTAACCTGCTTATTGTCATATATGATTCATTACCACAGTCTATGTTGAATAAAAACCAAAACTCCCACAACTGTGGTGATAAATCAGTGCCTAAAAGGTAGGGGGCTTAGAAACACAAAACAGAGGCCTCAAAGAGTTGATAAATTCTTTCTGAGGAGCATGGTCACCAATTTTCTGAGAGGGAAAGCTAATGGGACTGAGCAAAATGGCTTTAAACTAGCAAGAAATAATAAGTTGTTCAGCAAGGAGACAGGAAGAAACAGAAAGAAAAGCAGCTAGTACACAAAAAAATCAACAAGAAAGATGTATCAATATAGAAAGGAGAATAGAGGGCACCAAACTGGGATTTAGCAGGCAGGTAATTTAGGGTGTTACTAGAGAATAGCAAGGGAAATAAAAGCAAAACTGAGTGAAATGAAATAAAAAGAAGTACACATAAGGCCATATCATATCTCTGTTCCAATGAATTGTGATGTTCTGTTTGGGAAAGTAACATAAAACCCCAGAAAATCTTACCGTGGGATAAAAATATCTAATTGGAATGCCAGTGGAGGAAAGCATGGCCCATGAGACAGACAGAGTGACTGCTACGTGTGTACACTCAGGAAGCATCTCCTACTCCAAGGTAGCCATGTAAGTAGGGAGGAAAATCATGTAAAAAAAAAATAAATCTCTGGGTTTAAAAGCAGACAGAGAAAGGCAGTTTTGTATGAAGTTTACCAGTAAAATATATATGAGATGAAGTCCTGAAGTAGACAGCACATACGGAAATTAGTTGAAGAATCATTAAAGACTATATTAATCTTAATAGAGAAATTATTTTAGAAATAGAAATACACAGAGTAGAAACAGTTATTCTCACATACATTCAGCAGCTATACTTTCTATACATGGTTCAGGGAAAGTCAGGATGCTAGAAAAGAAATTCATAAAATAAAATAAGCTAAAGAAGAATCTAATCAGAAAATTCAATAGGAAAACTCAAGGAAAAATGCTTTTAAATGCTCTCTCTCTCCATTTACAGGTACCTCTCCCCAGCAACTAAGACAATGTCAGCCTGGTCATGCTTTACAGCTAGAAGTAAAAACTAAGAAAAACTAAGATACGTCTTTTTTTCCTTTTTATTTTTAAATTATTTTTAAGCACTAGAACTACAAAAAAAAAAAAAAAAAAAAAAAAAGAAAGTCTCTTTTCACCAGTATCACTCTTTCTTACCTCATGTTTACTGAGGAGGTAGATTGTGCCCATCTTCCATGACTAGCCTGTAGAGAGGGGCAAAACTCAGCGGAGAGCCAACAGGAATCCTAAATCACTTTCTTCTGTGAGTTTCCCCTCTGTGAGACAGGTGAAACAGTGTTTCTAACTAATTTAATAGTGAATGTCAATCTGTAGAAGATAAAACTGCTTTAAAGAAAGATCTCGTAAGATCCAATACATTGATTAAAAACCAAAACTGAGAAAAGCCCTGAGCTGAGGTAATCTTTAGCTTTTTCTTGCCCTGGAGGTGTAAGGAATTCAAACGAGGCAGCATCTCCAGTTAACTCAATTGGGTCCCTTCCTGGGATTTGAATTGCCACTGTGATTGTCTACATAGCAAATACAGACACATAGATCTGAGGTTTGGATTCCTTTCTGGAGACTGGATTCCTGAAAATCATCCATTTCAATGCTTACTTCCTAAATATCAAAATCCTGTAGTTTGCTAATGTTATCCCAGCTGTGTTTTCATCTGAGGGTGATTTCAATGACACAGGCATGCATTCAATGAAAGTCTCGAGGTATTGCCAAAGCTTCAGATGACAAGAACCAAAACCTGAAAATCTTAAAAGACAAAGAATATGTAAATCCACCAAACTTCCAATTGCAGTTACTAGAATTAAGTGAGGCAGCATCTACATGAATAGACTAGACTAGAATAGAATTTCAGTTGAAAGGGACCCACAATGATCATCTAGTTCAACTGCCTGACCGCTTCAGGGCTGACCAAAAGTTAAAGCATGTTGTTAAAGGCATTGTCCAAATGTCTCTTAAACACAGACAGGCTTGGGACATCGACCACCTCTCTAGGAGGCCTGTTCCAGTGTTTCACCAAGCTCTCGGTAAAGAAAAGCTTCCTAATGTCCAGTCTAAACCTCCCCTGGTGCAGTTGTGAACCATGCATCCTATCACTGGTTCCCAGGGAGAAGAGATCAGAACCTCCCTCTCCCTGTCCCCCCCTCAGGAAGCTGTAGAGAGCAAGGAGGTCCCTCCTCAGCCTCCTCTTCTCCAAACTAGACAAACCCAAAGTCCTTAGTGGTACCTCGCAGGACATGCCTTCCAGCACTTTCACCAGATTTGTTGCCCTTCTCTGGATGCGCTCAAGGACCTTCACATCCTTCTTAAATTATGGGGCCCAGCACTGCACACAGTATTCAAAGTGAGACCACATCAATGCTGAATACAGTGGGATAATCATCTCTTTTGCTTGGCCACTTATACTGTGTTTAATGAACCCCAGGACAGCATTTGCCCTCTTGGCTGCCAGGGCACAGTGCTGGCTCACATTGAACCTGCTGTCGACCAGTACCCTCAGATCCCTTTCTGCAGGGCTGTTCTCCAACAACACCTTTCCCAACCTATACTTGTGCCCAGTGTTACTCCATTCTAGAAGCAGAATCCAGCATTTCAACTTGTTAAATTTCATCCCATTAATCATAGACCAGTGCTCCAATCTGTCTAGATCCCTCTGCAAGTCCTCGTCTCTTTCAAAAGAGTCAACAGCATGTCCCAGTTTGGTGTCATCAGCAAACTTGCTAATGGTGCATCCAACTACTGCATCCAGGTCATCAATAAATACATTGAATAGCACTGGCCATAGAACTGATCCCTGAGGAACACTGCTGGTGACCAGTCACCAGTCAGATGTAGTCCCATTCACTTCAACCCAGCCGGTTCTTCATCCAGAGCACTGTGAACCCACCCATCACACAGTTAGACAACTTGTCCAGAAGGATGCTGTGAGGGACAGTACCAAAAGCCTTACTAAAATCCAGAAAAATTAGAACCACTGCCTTCCCTTCATCTACTATGTGGGAACTGTTGCACAGCACCATCAGTAAGGAACTGTTGGGGTGATCAGGACAGAAAAGTACAACTACAACGCATACTGCTGAGAAACAGCAAGTGATTTGATGACAGTTTTATATGGCTTTTAATGTGTTCCTCAGCCAACAGATTCTTCATCTTATATGTAACTACAAAGATTTCATGAAGACAATCTTATGAAAAATATATTCTAAGAAAAAGAAGAATCTTTAGAGTGCTTGTATCAAAAATACGCCTCAAAACACTGCCAGCATGGATCAGCAGATCAAATAGCATCTACTGGCATAGCAAACTGAAAGCCTACTTCCAAACCAGAAAGGTTCTCTGACCAATGCAATACACTAAGCTTGCCATAGGTTTCCAGGAAGATTTTTATTTCAAGAGAAAGGATTGCATGAAAAAGGGATAAACATATCAGAAACTATTTTTGGAAACACATGTTGTCTTAAAGGTTAATTTTTTACATTGCTTCTATATCAGAGTTAATCAGCTTAAAAAACCCAAGTGTTTAATATTTCCAAGTTCTAACAAGTATCTGTGTCATTGCAACATTTTCATGTTTGAATAAAGAGATACCCAGAAAGAAGTGTCTTTTTGCAGAAACAAGAAGCGAATTTTGTTTTTCTTTCCCTCTCATTGGATAAATTTTTGGAAGATTTACTTAGTTTAGAAGCTGAGGGCCACATACACTGAATTTACAACATATTTTTAATAATGTTTTAATGTAGGGGTAGATAATTGCTTGCTTGTATCTGTATAAGCAGAATCTTTTCCCAGAATTTATGGTTCAAATATGTTCTGGAGTAGAAAGAAATTCTTGATTGATTTATACAGTCTTGCCACCTGCATGATCTGCAGGTGAAATTCTGGTTACATAGGCCCACAAAAATTCCTCCTGATCTCATAAAATCTGACCTTCCTAAAGGCAAGATTCTCTTGAAGGATCAAATTTTTATTTTGTTTTGTTCCCAAATCTGCACAACTTCTTCACATAGCTAGAATATTTTCCATCTACAAGCATTTCCCAACAGAATTTCATCTTTATTCCTCTGAAAATATATATTTATTACAGGCTGTGAAAAACATCTTGCAGTCTGAGATTTTCTTTGCTCTGTTTGCACTGTGCTCACTTTTCTCTCTTCTCTGCAATCCAACATATTCTTCATTTTCAAGTTAATAGCATCAATTAATAGTTTTTAATTACATCTCATTTTTGTGACAGAATTCCCTTTTAAAATGCCCCTGCACAGTGACCAGGTCACAGACATATATGAACTCAGGACAGGCTACAGCCTCTTGCAGTTCTCCCTTATCGTGACCTCCTTAATTGCATATATTAGGAGACACGAGTGAGTCAACAGCCATCAATCTCTTTATTCTGTTCAACTTTTAAGGTCTTATTTCAGAGTGGACAAGACACCAGTTCAGAGAGTTCATTTTTGCTCCTAGATCAATGACGCTTAAACATATTAAATATTTTCAAAACCACACATCAGTCTGACAACCCATCAAACTGACCATGAAAAATATTGTGTATTATCTCTTGTATGTAAAGTCTGTGTAGAACAACTGACAGACTATATATCTTTTTGATATATGAACCTCAGCAAACCCAGCCCATTAGTAAAAGAAGATCAATAATGTTCTCACTGTTTGGGGGTCACATTTTGATAATGTTTCTGATCAAACAAGAGAAGGAAAATAGATGAGCTGCGGGTTGTTCCACTGGATACATGGCTCTATCTCAACTAGCATTTTGACCAAAATCCAAGCACTGGCAGACTGCATTTCATCTGTTCCTACTTTCCTATCAGTTCTCCTTATTGCTGTCTATTTTCTTGCATATTTATTAGGCTGAGTTTTCTCAAGAACAGACTGTAGTAGAGCAGAGAATTTACCAAGTCTACTGTTTTTTAAAACCTCTCCTACGTGAAGAATCATACACAGAAGACTAAAAAATGGTGAAAATGACTTTACACAAATCAGTCTAAGGTTTAGCTAACTGTTCTGGAGCAGCAATGCCTGCAAAAACTCAGCAACTTACCTAGAAAGGGAGGTGCTGCATCTATGGAGAGATTCAATAATTATTTCTTCTTATTAGGCCTGATGTTCTGCTCAGTATGTCATGTCTTCCTAAAATTTTTATGTAACTGCAGAATTCATAGTTTCTTGAGTTGCAAAACTTAGGAAAAAAAAAGAAAAAGAAAAAGAAAAAGAAAAAGAAAAAGAAAAAGAAAAAGAAAAAGAAAAAGAAAAAGAAAAAGAAAAAAAAAGAAAAAGAAAAAGAAAAAGAAAAAGAAAAAGAAAAAGAAAAAGAAAAAGAAAAAGAAAAAGAAAAAGAAAAAGAAAAAGAAAAAGAAAAAGAAAAAGAAAAAGAAAAAGAAAAAGAAAAAGAAAAAGAAAAAGAAAAAGAAAAAGAAAAAGAAAAAGAAAAAGAAAAAGAAAAAGAAAAAGAAAAAGAAAAAACTCACAGGATTTTTTGTTTTGTTTTGGTGGGATTATTTTGCACAGGATTTGCCTGTTTAGATTAGGATGTATGTCCTGGTTTGTGGAGCTACAGTATTGACATGTGTCTTTATAAAAATGGCAGTTTCTCATTTCCAAGATCCCCTCACTGTGAATATTATGTTACTAAACCTATTCCCATTTCTTATATGCATAAATATACTGAAAGCATGTGTAAACATTAAACTCAATGAGACTTTCCTATCATGTACTTTTTCAGCAAGATTTCCTATGTAATCTGTTCCATTTCCTTGATCTGGACTGAGGACATGACTAGTTAAAATGAAGAATATTTCAGTTTACACAGACTGTTTTTTATCAGGAATATATACAAGAAAAGAGTATTCTAACCTTTTCAGTAACTTCTATTTAAAGTTGTGGAGTTTTTCTACTCCTTTTTGACCATGGCACTATTAATCTAAAGGCCAAGTATACTTGTTAGCATTAAGCAAAGTCCAAAGTCCAATTTATGCTTGATATTTTTCAGTGGGTAATAATAACAATTATTTGATGCCTACCACACTCTTAACATAAGCTGACAATTATAGAAACAAGTGTTATCATAAAGAGCCCAACCCTATTCTGTAGCTTCTATAGACTCCAGCTGCAGCACAGATGCAAGGAATGCAATGAAATTCTAAAAACACTGAAAACCTTATGGAAATTCCCTTTACAAATTATGCTCAAAGTCACAGTAAGGACACGATTATTTCAGTGTCCATTTTGAGGGAAAAGGCTCATCCAT